TTCTATTCTATTCTATTCTATCAGTTTAAATGCTTCAGTTTGTTTTCTGTTCTATTCTATTCTATTCTATCCTATTCTATTCTATTCTATTCTATCAGTTTAAATGCTTCAGTTTGTTTTCTGTTCTATTCTATTCTATTCTATCCTATTCTATTCTATTCTATTCTATCAGTTTAAATGCTTCAGTTTGTGTTCTATTCGATTCTATTTTATTTTTTTCTATCAGTTTAAATAGTTATCAAAATAGTTATGGTTATATTTATCAATGTAGTTATTGTTTTATTTATTGTTATTGCGGGCCGTTCACACCGAACGCGTGTGGAATGGTTTTAAAAAAGCGAACAGTGAATTTACTCATAAATCAAATCCAGATGAAAGTACGGAAGCTCATACAGGTGTATGACATCATACTAACACACAACTCTCATGTTTATGATTCAGATGAGTGCGAGGTCACCTGAGGGCCAGAGCCGTGGACCACTTATATCCTCCAGTCCAGTTACAGAACAGACGCTTCTGAAACACTCGCTTCCCTGTGAATGACACACATGAAGGAAGACGCCTGTTAAAACTCTGAATGCTGAACACAAAAGAATGCCATAACTGAAATCAATGGGGACTAGCAACTGAACAATCTTCAAAATATCTGCTTTTGTGTTCAGCAGAAGAAAGAAACTCGAGGGAGAGTAAATGATGACAGAATATTCATTTTTGGGTGAACTGTCCCTTTAAGGACCTCTAATGTTGGGTGAATTTCCTTTAAGTAAAGTATTCATTTACATTCATGCATCTGGCAGACGCTTTCATCCAAAGTGACTTACATTGAACTTAAAGGGGTCATCGGATGCCCATTTTCCACAAGTTGATTAAATACAATCTTAATGAAAAGTCTGTAACATAGTTTGGTTAAAATTTCTCAATGGTAGTGTAAAAAACACCTCTTTTACCCAGTCAAAAACAGCTCCAGAGCAAGCCATTTTGGTGCATGTCCCTTTAAATGTTAATGAGCTCTGCTGACCAGTGAAACAATGGCAGTCTGATGACAGCTCACTCAGGGCGGAGCTAAGGTAAGACACCTCTGCTCCGGCGGTGAAACAATGGCGGACTGAAGACAGCTCACTCAGGGCGGGTCTGAGGAAAACGCCAGTGTCGATCAAACAATCATGGGAGGGGCCTGGGTCTGTGTGACATCATACACCCAAAGAAGCTGAGAACAGTTTGATTTGAGAAAGGGAATATTATTTATAGAGATAAAAAAAAAACACTGAGTGGATTTTTATCATTTTAGGGTGGTTGTGTACACACACTGGCAACACACATTTCAGTTTAAACAGCTTGTAAAAGTGCATGTAGCATCTAGGGATGTAACGATTAACCGCGAGCCGGGTTAAAATCGATTCAAATATGTCAAGGACACATTTAATTTATAATTTGTCTTAAATTTCATTTTGTTAAAAGAAAACCGTGAATCGAATCGTGTGTTGAGTGAATCGTTACATCCCTAGTAGCATCCTATGACCCCTTTAAGGTACACATGTGATCAGTCAATGCACTCCCTGGGACTCAAACCCATGACCTTGGTGTTGCTAGCGCTGAGATCTATCGCAGTCTGTAGTCATGCATTTATTGTTTTTGGTTATGCAGCACAAAGTGTGTGTGAAGCATGATGGCGCAGCTCGTACCCAGGCAGTGCACATGCTCCAGAACCTCACAGCTGGCGTTATAGCGTCTGCGCGGACACGACACCGTCATGCAGCTGGTGGAGTTCGAGCAGCGGTACTGAGACGGATCCAGCTGCCAACAGAAGCGGCAGTCCAGCGTCATCGAGAAGTTCTGCTGCGGCTGACTCCGCTCGTTCTGAAACACACACACAAACAGGAATGCAACGAATGCATCAAGCATCTGAGCTCTTATTAGCAAACAACCAACAGATCACTTATGAAATCAAATGCTTTAAAGGTGACATATCATGAAAATCTGACTTTTCCAGGTTGTAAGTGCTATAATCAGGTCCCCGGTGCATCTACCAACCAAGGAAACGTGAAAAAGATGAACCCA